ATGGGAATATGGTCGATTTCTGATCCCCTCAAATTAACGTGATCGAGGCCGATCGATCGTCGATCGGTGCACCCCTAATAAGCACATATTACCATTTTTAGTGACTCAACATCCGCGAATCCTCCTCATTCGTGACGGTTCTGGAACCAAACCTCGCGAATGTCTGAGGTCTGACTGTATGTATGTAATTTATTTCCCCTCTTTTATCAAGAAGGTTTCTTTTTAATCTAGTTTATATTAGCTGTAGGTAGTGATGTAGTAAAAACAAAAAAGACAAGATTTCCATGACCATCCTTTGTGTAACAAATAACCAAAGATACAGCATCATACAGAATGGTCCTGTTTTCATGAATAGCGGGAAAACCACTCATATTCTTTTCAGTTCTGGAGGCTGTAGGAAGCATTTCTGTAAATTCTGGGTGTGGTGCGTGACTCTTTGGGTTCAGACCCTGTGTCCGTGAGCGGAAGGCCGCTGGTTCAGATCTCCTGGCCGGCAGAGTGATGTCATCGCTGGGTCCTTCAGCTGCTGGGGGCTGGATGCTGGCCGACCCTGTGCTGTGACCCCAAACTTCCTCTCACCTGTATATGTGTCTGTGAGTCTCTTGGAGAGCAAGATGGGAGGGGTGAAAAGATAATTTCCCCATGGGGATGAGAGCGATGGAGAATACCGCTTTTGTCAAAATGACAGGTTGGGTCAAAGGTCAGAAAGGTCACATAAATCAAAAATGACAGGTCTTTGAAGTAAGCCAAATTGACGTCACGACTAGTGTTAATTAAAGGTAACATAAATCAAAAAAATCACAGGTCTGGGCTGTGAGCCAGGTGACATCACGACTAGTGACGTTGGGAGAGGGGCTTTTTAAAAATTAATTATTATTTTTAAAATATTTATTTATTAGTTATTAATTATTTATTATTATTATTAAATATTTGTAATTATTATTATTATTATTTATTAATTAAATAATTATTATTTTTATTTATTATTATTTTATTTTGAGGAGAGAAGTTTCAGCAGTGAATCGTGTGCTTATAAGTGGGGTTTGTCCGCCGAATAGCCCCCGTGCTACGAGGGTAACGGTGCCGAGCACAGAGCTGAGCACGGGGGCTGAGCGGGTCGGTTA